GGGGGGGGGCCCACTGTAATAGTAAAGAATCTTTGTCCCCAGAGTTCAGCTTTAAGAGTTATTCTCATTTTCCTGAAACATTTTAAGCCTAACCATGTCACAAGGCTCTCTGTGTAAAGCACAGTACAGTCACAGCCTGATAAATTCAAACTGAGCATATGCATAATGCATAAGCAGTGGTTACCTTTACTGAAAACTGAATGTAAAAAAAAACAGTAGATCCAGAGTGTTAGGCAGCTTAGGTTGTATGTAAAACTTGGCTTTTCCTGTAAAGTCAAGCTTCAGTCCACAATCCACCCTCCTGAGGCTCTCTGTTGGTTCTTAAATAAAATGAGTGATCTTATTGAGTAAAGAGGCTCAGAAAAGTAAACATTTGCATATAACTACAGCATCCCACATCCCTGGGCATACTGATCATTTTAACATTTGGTTTACACTGAAGGTAACCTTTGTGTAGGCATTTTTTTATTCATATGCTCAGTTGAATTACTCAGATGTGTGAGAACTTTGACAGATATATTTATAGATCTCATTGTGTTATATTTTTCTGTTTAGCTGGGAACTGAATTCCAAATACTGTGACACAGTAAACGTGATATCACCCTACAATGAAGGAACCCGACTTCTTGACTTAATCGATCTATCGATCTTGGACTTTTTTATGGGTATGTTAATAACATTATTTTTTTGTAGTTAAATACATTTTATTAAAAAGGCAAATACACTTTTTGTTTTTGCAGCTGAGAAAAACAAAAAAGAGCAACATTCCCATAATTTAAAACCCCTCCCTCTCCCTGAGTGGTTCCTAGTCATTCAGTTTAAAGAGTAATTGTAACGTTTCAAGACGAAACGACAACTATTCTGACTTCATCCCTTGCTTCATCCCTGACTTCAACCTCTATGCCTGGCCTGTTTATGCAGATATATTCACTGTGGACAATCCTTATCAGATAGCTGATCTCACCAAATACCTTTTCATCCTTATTGCATGCAGCAGGTTAGAGCAGACAACAGGGTCCAGCAGATGAATGAGCAGATGGTATTTGAAGGTCAAGGATGATAATGTTTCTAAGCTAGCATATACATGTGATCCTGCTATAGGCAGCCATGACACTAAATGACTAGTTCTTCAAGAAGGGGGAAATGCATCATAAATGGGAGGGAACACAGAAAAACATGGTGCAATAACCAAAATGCCCACAAAATTGTAGTATAATAACCAGCTATACAACTGCTATACATGGCTTAAGGAAAATTCTCACTTCACATTAATATAGGTAATAACCATAACTATGCATTAAACACTAAAGGTGATCAGCGCCAGTAAGTGTAATGTGGAAATATGAGCTACCAAGCACTAAGGATATAACTAAATATCTGTAAAATGTGAAAAAACAATATTGTGCCGAGCTAATAATCATACATATCTAATAAATTAAAACATATATAAATGAGTCACATATATGAGCCTTCAAACAAATGAGGCATAAGAAATATCTACACACATCCGGCTACACATTGAGGAGACCTTATCGCCTTTTTCTGTGCATGGGCTTCCCTCCCCCATTAAGAAGGGAAAAAGTGCATTTGACCTAGCTCTGTGGGTCTACCTCCCCAGGTGAGCATTCACTTGTTATCATCACTCACTGGGTGGAGGTGAAGGTCTGCCTGCATTGTGTGATCATCCTTACCTGAGAGTTATATGCACATTGGCTGCGAATCATCTGAGGAATTTTTTGCACAATCACCATTGTTTGCGTTAGTTTTTTTCCTTGGGACTCTTTTTGCCTATATTGCTTTTTTGTATGTGTGTAGATATTTCTTATGCCTCATTTGTTTGAAGGCTCATATATGTGACTCATTTATATATGTTTTAATTTATTAGATATGTATGATTATTAGCTCGGCACAATATTGTTTTTTCACATAACTATGCATTGTTTAATATTTTTATGCAATTATTGTGACAGCACAACAATGCTGATCTAGTTGTGTGGGGTTACCTTTTATGGATCTCAGCTGCAGAACTGTTATAGCTGCCGTGCCGATAAAGAGTCAGTGTTTGCAGGATCAAGGAGTGGTTGAACTTGGAACACAGCCGGTGGGCAACTTGTAAAAGGAGGTTCTACAGACAAGTATTAACTTCCGGGATTAATGCATACCTAGTCCAGGTTAGTCTGCTTATATAATGGAATATAATTGGGAGCATGTATTACATCATACACATCAGTGGCGGAACTATCGCCGGTGCGGGTGCACCAGGGCCTCGGGCCTGTGGGGGGCCCAGCACAGTCCCAGTCAATACTGCCTGGTCACCACCCACTCCACTGGACTCGTCGGCTGTGAGCGGGAGAGCCAGAGCGTGCGAGAATGTATACAGAGATGGCACCTCTCTATATACATTGCTTGGGGGGCAATGTTACAAAACACAAAAAATCCCCAGCTTCACCTGCCAGCTAGCCTGCAACGAAACAAATAGCCCTGTCAACAGTATGCGTTAAAACGAGAGGTTTTAGTTGCACAAACTTTTGGCCAAAAACATGTACAAGCCACACCGCCGCGCCAAGGCACCTCTGCAAGGTGTGGTCCTAACTCTATGTATACGAGTCTCCGAGTGTGAGCATATTAATGCAGTCGATAAATTGCATGCAGGTCTACCTGGAGATTGGGGAGGAGAGAAAGTGACAGCCGGCCGAGCGCTGCGGGAGGAGAGCGCTGTGTTTGTGGGTTTATTTTGGGGGGGCCCAAAAAAAATCTTGCACCAGGGCCCTTTGTTCCTTAGGTCCGCCACTGATACACATCATAGGAGGTTCAATAATGAGGAAGTCCAGTGCCTCCTAAGAGTACCTGTATTCCTTCATGCAGGAACACAGTTAGAGGTTTTGATGTATATATATCGTCCCAGGGTTTGGTTAAAGCAATCACAGCACCCCTGCTAGCATCAGTAATTAGTCATCTCATAATTAAATAGTGAATAAAACTATATGAGTATATACACAAAGATATTTCATGATCTATAGAGTCTCTCAATTCAGCTGGTTGATCTTTAAAGTGTGGAAAAACTGACATGATGTGTGAAGTTCTGTCCCATACGTCTAGAAGATTGCTGGAGAATTGCGGTTAGCAGAGATGGGAACTCATGAGTCCAGGTAGTAATGGTAGTCCCAGTCAGTTTAGGAAATCCTGAAGAGGAAGGTAAGTTGAATCCAATTTCTACAGGGGTGACCATCAGTTATGTGGATAGCGGAGACCGTTACCACTTGCAGCTGCAGTCAGAGGAGGGATGGATGGCTGCTGACCCAAGATGGATGGATGGGTGTAATCCCAGGATGGAGGGAGTAGAGCAGGCTGTGCACTCCTTGAAGAAGGATTCCTACAAGCCAGGAATCCCAGTGGATGCTTGCTGCAGATTCAAGGCAAGGGGCCGGCATACAGGGCTTACGGATAGGAAGGACGGTGTCGGAATTGGAAATGCTCAGCGTCTCACAACACTGACAAGACATCAATCATTTCAAATTACATGGCTTTAAGCTGCTGACTGAGTGAAGGGGGCGGAGCAGCGTGACGTAATTGAAGAGGGCGGCGCTCAGCACGAATACTGAAGCATCGCCCGTAATTGTACTTTTGTTGAGGAAAAAAAATCAATCCCCTCTAGGTGATCAGTGTACATTCTAACGATTTTAACAAACTTTGTTGCAGATTCCTACCTTTTTTTGTTCTGAAGAAAAAGTTGTTTGTTGCAGCATGTCCTTTTAAAAATGATTCCTGAATGGGAGGGTCAGGGTTCTCATAACCAGCTGGTGGGCTTCCTGTTTTGTAATAAGGTAAGGTGCATGATCTGCATCCCTTTAGTAGTCATTAGCCCTTAGGAAGTATCTCACCAAAAATGAAATTCCTTGATTTTAGAATCAAGGTCCAAACGGCTGGTGCGACCCCCTCAGAGACTCACTTATGACTCACCAGGGAATAGCACAGAGGAAGCTGTAACTACTGTGCGAAGATCACCCGAGGTGTCCACCCTGACCACAGAGGTATCAAAGGACTCGAGTCCAACCCAGGCCATCAGCACACCTTGGTGGAGGTTCCCTCCACTCACCCCACTTGCTAGACGCTGTCATGAACTGCATCTATCTACACGCAGTAAAGGTATTCAAGTGGTTTAGTATAAAACTTTATATGTGCCTTTATACTGTATATATTGTCTGTAGAACTTGCAAATGCAGTTTACCCTTTGGAGGGACCCAAAGACTTTAAGTAGGGGGAGAATGTAGCCCTGTTGTGATTTCAGCCCTTTAAGAGGAAATATATTGCAGCTGCAGGTGGAGCCAGAGAGCACAGATTGTGGGGATTGTAATACAGAGCAGATATTATTGATACACTTTGGCTGAAAGAACTTTGAGAACTGCATTTCCCAGGAGGCTGTGGGGAGGAAACATGAGACTTATGGGTTGCATCTGCTGAGCAGCCTCAGTCTGGGACAGCCATTTGAAGAGGAAAGACCTGTGTAACCCTGTGTGGGTTAAGACTGTGTGCAACAGAGCTGTGGGGTCACCTCTGACATACAGGCACACACAGGCTCTGTGCAGCGGTGTACAGAGAGACTGACCTGAGTTGCTGAATTAGAGAGGACCAGATTGAGTGCCTGAAGTGAGGACCGGTGACGTTGAGGCCTAGCCACACGGCCGAACCAGCCACTGGGGTGATCCAGCCAGCCCAGCTGAGAGGGAGTAGCCAGACGGAGACGACCAAGATGACTGCCCGTCTCCTGAATGAGTGAAAACTTCTTACAAGGGACCCAGATGACTTCACCTTCCTCCCAGAGTCGACTTGAGAGAGAGAGAGGACACCCAGCTTCTACCAGCAGACTCCATCTCTTCCCTTTTTGATCTGAGGAGTGGTGAGAGGCCTTTGGCCACAGTGACACCCTGTTTATTGTTCATATCTGCACTACAGTAAGGGCCCCAACGCCGGCTAGCCTAGGACAGTACTACTGGCCAGTAGTTTAGAGTGAGGTAGATACTTTTAAGTAGAGATATTAATGTTGATTGCATTCGATCTAAGTGTATTATCTGAGACATTCTGACATTGCAGGCTTTCGTGCATGCAATAGATTGCTGCTGCGTGTCAGATTGCCTTATCCTGTTATTGGTTGTATTAAATGTGATTGGGGAGCCGTTAAGTGCTTTGTTCTATTCCATAGTCATTAAATCTGTTATAAAACTTCACAAGGTGTGCTGGTGTGCTGTGGGTTCATTGCTTGTGGCGTGTCACAGAGGTGAAACAGAAGACCCGATCATCCAGCGGCTCCTTCGGGGGTGAGCGCTACAATGGTTTTACCCACATAAACTAGCGAACAAGGACATTTTAGTATATATATGCAATAGTCCGATACACAGTTCAAGTAACCACGAATGGAATATCTTTTCCCTGTGTATGGATGGCAAAATGAATCACCTGTAATGAGTGAGTTACAGACGCTGCAGTTGTAGCATCTGTAACAACTAGGGTTGCCAACCGTCGGGTTTTCACCCGGACAGTCCGGTTTTGGCATCTTGTGTGAATTATGGGATCCAGTGGAAGTGATCCTTTAAGAATTTGATCCAATAAAGCTTTGCTGGCATGACTTGGGTCCATGCCTCCTTTTTGAATGACTTGATGAAGGATT